ATTTCCAGAAAAGACTGGCATTTGAATTAAGATCTGTCCCCACCTCTGTGAGTGAGCATCATCCAATCTGTTGAAACAGAAAGAACAAGAGGTGGAAAGAAGGGAGGCACAGGGCGGGAGTAGGGGGACAGATTTGAATTCTAGCTGGGCCACCCAGCAGGAAGCATACACAGGAGGATCACAGTACTCCAGGTTGGCCCAGGCATAAATGCCAGGCTGTGCTCAGAAAATAAAGCAGAAAAAAAAAAAAATGGCGGTGTGTGTGTGACTCAAGTAGCAGAGCACCTTCCTAGAAAGCTCAAGTCCCTGAGTTCAAACCCCATTACTGCAAAAAACCAGAGAGGTGGGGAGATCTGAGCACTGGAGGAAGGCCAGGTGGAGATGAAGGCAGAGATGGGGTGATGCTTCTCCAATTCAGAAAAGGGCAAAGACAGCCAGTGGTCACTGGAAGCTGGAGAGGCCTGGGGCTGACTTTCCTTCACAGCTGAGGTGGAGTCAGCCCTGCCACACCTTCATCTTGGACTTCTGGTTCCACAGCTATGAGAAGACCAACTGCTGGGCAAGCCGTGCCGTCTTCGGATCTGGCTAAAGCAGCCCGGGGAACTTGACCAGTACACAGTGGTTGCAGCCTCTGGAAACACAGTTACACAGGGTGACTGCCCCGTTGTCCTGCTGGGCATCCTCTGCCATGAGCCATCAGGTCAGACACCACTGGGGGATGGGAGACCTGGGTGACCGTGTCCCAGTGGTGGACTGTCTTAGCACATGGCTGATGTGGAGTGGGGTACACGAAGCCACAAAAGGCAGGGGCACACCATGGGACTCCTTTCTATAGCAGAGTGTCATAGAGAAGGGGCTTCCCTGGGAGGAGGGGAAGCTCCTATTGGATGGAAGAGCAGTCAGAGGGGTACTTGGAGGGCACCTGGACATGGTCAGGGACAGGAGAAGGCAAGAGATGGCCTGGCCTCTGTGGGAGTTGGGGAGGCTGAGATGGAACCCGTGGGCTTTGAGGACAAAGGCCAGGTGGAGCCTGGCGCCCCCACTCAGCCACTGCAGGGTCTCAGGCAGCTCCTCTCCTCCCCAGCCCTCACCACCTTCCGGGCTCAGAGGGACCCGGCAGCCGGACTGCCCCACAGGGCACTGCAGGGGACAACCCTGGCCAGGATGGAGGAAGCCTGCAGTCTGGCAGCTCTGCATCTGCAAAGCTCCTTCCTCACTTCACAGCCATTTAACAGAAACAACCACATGCCAGGCACAGAGCTGGCTGTGGATTTGGTGAGTTATGCTGACTGTGATGGCTGACCTTGACTTCACTGGATTGAGAAGCAACTAGGAGATCAGTGAAGCTCACCTGTGGTGTCTGTGAGGGGTTCCAGAAAGGACTGAGTAAGGGAGTCCCACACTGAGTGTGGTGGTACCATCCCCTCAGGCTGGAGGCCAGACGCCATAAAGGGCGAAAAACAGGAGGAAGCCTGCAGCTGTCTCTGTCTCTCTCTCCATACCTGCCACCATACTGGAGCTGCTCAAAATAAATCCTTCCTCCTTACATTGTTTTGCTCAGGTATTTTGCACAGGGACCAAAAATCTGATGAACACACCAACAAACTCCCACCTTCTTGACGAAAACATAAAGTTGTGAAGCCAAAGAAACCAAAAGGAATCAAACAGAACAGGGCAGGATGGGCAGTGCTGGTCTCAGCAAGGTGGCAGGAAAAGCTACAGTGAAAACGGATGGTGGTCAATGTCAAGTCTCCAGGCAAGTTGGGGAGCCAGTCAGGAAGAGAATGCTGGAAAGGAAGACAGCAATGTCCCAAGGCCCTGTGGTGGGAGCATGCCTCGTGAATTGAGATAGAGCGAGGAGGCAGAGAGAGTGCAGAGGCGCAAGAAATGAACCAGAGGCTAGGGTCTCACAGACCTGGAGGCTACAAGCAAGGCAGGGAGAGCCAGGACTTTAGCTTTGGCCAGGCTGACAAAGAAAAACAGCACACGCAGCAGTGGCCACCATGCTAGCAGCTGGTTGAAAAGAGACTGCAGCAGGGTGAGGGTGAGAGCAGGTGGGTGCTGGCCACAGTGATCCAGGGATATGGGGCTCAGATCTAGGTGACAGTGGAGCAAGTAGGGAGACGAGGCCCATCCTACTTACCTTCCAACAGCAGAGCTGACAGGTTTGCCAGTGACCAGGTGTGAAGGGCCAGGACAAGAGTGATTCCTGGGTACTGTACTGGGTACTGTATCCCCTGCTGGATAGCCAGCAATTCCCAAGGTCCAGAGACACTGTCTGAGATACCTGAGCCCTCCTGTAGGGAAAGGTCCTCAGTGGCCACCAGCAAAAGGACAGAAGGCCTGGAGGTGGATATCGGTTAAGGAGCCGAGGACAGGTCGGTGTCCTCTAGTGTTTGGTACTCAGGCAAGAAGGGAGGGCCTAAAGCAAAGACAGGGACGGCCAGCCTAAGAGTGGACCTAGGAGCACTTTCTACAGTGGGGTGCTGTCAAGAAGTCATGTGGTCCCAAGAGCCCAGGGAGTGACCTGGATTGGCTGTGGGAGCTATTGACCTTAAGCTAATTAGTGTCCGAGGGGTGACGGGTGGGCTTGAGCATCTATGAGGAATGAACTGCGTAAACTGAGTACGCACAGGCTTTATGAGTGACCTGAAAGGGGCACGCAGAGCTGGCCCTGTGGGAAGGAGGGGGAGGAGTATGCAAGGGCACAGCAGGGCGGGGGTGTGCAGTTGGGGGCAGGCAGAGTTGGCAAACTCAGGGCCCCGTGCTCTGGAGCAACTCTTGTGGCAAGAAATGGCTGTTGTGGACCCTGCTGGGTGAGCTGTGCAGCCCTAACTAGCCCTTCCCTCCTGGGGTGCCTTACACTCCGGTAGTTGGTCACTCTGGCATTCAACCTGCCCCAGATCTGGTCACAGCTGTTTGTGGCAAAGGTGCCCTGACCCATGGATGGAGCTTGGAGCAGGGCCTCTGACGTCCTGTCTGTTGCCCTCTGCAAAGGGCGATGTGTGAGCCCCAGGGTGGTGGTTGGGGCTTATGTGCCCGTCCTGGGAAGCAGAATGAGAAGCAGAAATGACCCAAGGAGCAGGTGCCACCATCAGGCCCCTCGAAGCCAACTGGCATGGGGGGTTTGGTGACTTTGCATAATCAACCCTGTCCCTAACAGGTGTGCCTGCCACCTGTAGGGGCAGGGGTGGTGATCAGCCTGGGGAGGGTACGGTGGGCTCTCTCTTCTTCCCTTAGGTGGGGCCCAACCCCAACTCTCAGCCTCTCATTGAAGGCAAAGACACAGACCACGGGGCTTTGAAATCGTCGATCGAGTTTAATGCATCGTACAGCAGGAAAACTACATTGCAAATTTAAGACAGACACTTTCTCTATCCTCACTATCCACTGGACGGTCCTCCTTGGTCCCAAAAAACTAGCAGTCTCAAGACATGTTGGTGACTACCCCTCCTGTGTCCGACCTTTCAGATTCTCCCATGACATTTTTAAAAACTTGAACTCAACCCGTCCAAGAAGAAAAGCAAACCAACAAAAGTGGAACCTGAAGACATTTCCATGGCAAGCCTCATGGTGCTGTGTAATTGGCATAGAGAGTAACCAATATATAAGACGTGTGCCTCACACAGGTCACTTTGTTCATCAATAAAAGAATATAAAAATCTTGTTCAACCCAGTGTTGAGTGTATTAAAATAGATCTGTATCATACAGCACAGTTTCTCCCGGACTCGTGAAAATGACAAGGGGGAGGAGGGCCGGTGGCGGGATCCCGGCCAGTCTCCTACTTTGCACCTGTCTGCGTGCACGCGTGCGTGTCTGTGGCCGTGCTGCCTGCACACACGCACACGCGTGCTCACTGCAATTCGGCACCTTGTGATCTGCTCGGGTGGAGCCCTGTGGCTCCTGGATGTGTATCCGTTGTGCTGAGTCCCTCAGGACGGGGAAGCTGGGGGCGAGGTGAGCTGCAGCCTGCTGGGATTTGGGAGCCCCGGGAGATGCTGTGGACCTTCAGCTCTCTGTTAACAGGGCAACGGCCACAGGAAGGGACCCAAGAGCCTCCAAAGGCCAATTGCCCCATGGCTGCACCCTCTCTCCCTTCCCCAGCCCTCCACGCTGGTTCCCCAAAGCCGCTCTGGGTCCTCCAGTCTGCTTGGCTCCCAGGGAAGGTCTCCCATTTGTACCTTGAAGTGGAGACTACCAGACGTACAGGAAGGTCAGCAGGTGGCCCTGTCACATTAATTATCTTTCAGTAAAAATGCCATACAAAAGTGTAAAGGTATTTTTGGCATAGTGTCTATACTGGCAAGAAAAAAAGACTGGAATACTTTTCAGCTCTTTGAAATTAGAAAATAAAAGGCTTCCGACCTAAGTTGAAACCTGCCTACTGCCTCCCTGCATGACAGCAGCCCTGTCTTGCCCAAGAACTCCATGAGAAAAATATGTCAACAGCAAAATGAGTCTAAAAGACTGGCAGCAGAAGGAGGCAAGAGTGCTTGAGGACTGGGGAGGGGCGAGGGGGAGGCCAGGCCTGGGTGGCCCCTGGGGAAGATGGCCTCCAGTTGGTCAAGTTCAAAGGCTGTAATTCCCAACCCAATAATACTGATGGAAGGCAGTGGGAAAGCGGCCAGAGTCTGGAAAGGCGCTGGGGCCCCAGGCCTGGCTGGCTACAGGTGCCCTGTGGGCAGGGGCATTGGAGAACTATCTAGGTTTGCTACCCTCTTCTGGCCCCAATGGCTCAACTACCCTACTACTCAGCTAAAAGTGTGCTCAGCTCTCCTTCCTCCAAGGACACGAAGGCGGGCCCTCAGCAGCCACACACTGGCCAGTCTGCCTCACCCTCCACAGCCAGACTCTCCCCCATGGAGATGGCCCAAGGACATGGAGAGCTGGACCCAGAAGCTGGAGGCCTGGGAAGCCCAACGACAACTGAGGATGGAGGCTGCCTGTGCTCCAGGCCATCACACCCCCACCTGGCTTCCAGAGTCTCCTCTGGCCAGGAAGGGTACAGGACTCCACATCCACCCAGTCCTGGCCCTGGGTTGCTCCCTTTGCTCCTTCTCCCTTTTTCTCCTCCGTCTCCTCTGTCTGGTTTTATTTTTGTCTGAAATTCATAGTGTTTATGAATTTAAGGCCAACAGAACCCCCAGGTTGTGTGGACAGGGCCCCAGAAACTTTCCGTGGGCAGGAAGACAGGTCCCTGGGGTCAGTTATGGCCCTGGGGGTGCTGGAGAGCGGGGCGCATGGTGGTGGCAGTTGAGGGCTTGGTCCAGGGCCCAGCCAACAGCTGGGTGGGGCTGGTGGTCGTCATGGCAACCTGGAGCATCTGCTCGCCCTGGATCAGTCTCAGGAGACCCCGGAGACGGTCCAGCGATGACTGGGTGCCCCTCTGGCGGGCCAGCAGGCTTGTCTTAAGCTCTAGGCATTTCTGTCAGGGGGAGAGGTATCAGAGATGTGTCAGAATTGAACTCGGCAAGCGTCCTGGCACAGCTTCCCCCTCCCTCCCCCAAAGCCTTTCCTCAACGTCCTGAAGGGAACAGGCAGAGGACCTCACAAAAACCAGGCAAGAGTGAAAAATGGAATTAAACAGAAGTTTGCCTTGGAATGCACCACTAGACGTGTGCTTGCACCACAATTTCCTCCTCCTGCCAACTGCACCAGTCACAGAGGACCTCAGGCTTGCCGGAGAACCCACTGCACTTGTTCTTGCACCCTTCCCCCAGCCTTTCTGTGTATCAAAGCAAACACAGAGCAGTGGGACTGAGGCCTACAGTCAGATGTCCATCCGCTCTGGGTCAAATGCGGCTGCAGCAGTAACAACCTCCTTGTGAGTGCTTCCAGAATCATGCCAGGAATCGTCAGTCACTTCATAGAGCTACTGAGAGGACTAAAGGAGACACTGCACTAAGAGAACTTCTCCAGACTCCAGAACTGCTGCTTCCACTGCTCCATCCTCACCACCAGCCCCATCATTATCACCACCATCACCACCACCACCACCATCATCATCCCAACTCATCTCCATCACCACTGTTACCATCAATGTAATCAACCCCCTCCATCATCACCACCATCACCATTGTCACTACCAACACTATCACCACCACAACCACCGCCATCATCCCAGTCATCACTACCACCAGCACCATCATCACCACCATCAATGTAATCAACCCCCTCCATCATCATACCATCTCCATCACCACCCATCAACACCACCACCACCACCATCACTATCATCATAACCACCACCATCTACCAACACCATCATCACAATGACCATAATCAACGCAATCATCCCCCACCATCAGCATACCATCTCCATCACCACCATAGCCATAATCTCCTCCACCACCATCACCAACACCATTACCACACCACCACCACTAATATAATCATCCCTCTACCACTATCGATATACCAGCTCCATTACCTAATCACCACCATCACTATAACCATCAATACCATCACTACCACCACCATCACCAGCACCAATATCACCCCCTCAACCATCACACCATCTCCATCACCACCATCACCATCACATCTCCCACTATTTCCATCAGTACCATCACCAAAATCACACCACCACCATCTTTACCATCGTAATACCACCACCATCTTCATAACCACCACCATCACTTTCATCACCATCACCTCATCACTTGCAACCATCACCGCCTTCACGGTCCCTACCATCACGCCACCATTTCACTGCCCCCTCATCTTCATCATCTAGTCTGCCATCCCCTGCAAGGATTAGGTTCACTTTACACAGGAGGAAACTGAGGTTCAGAGAAGCGTAGGGCCTTCCTTGCCAAGGTCACAGCTGGGATGTCCTCAACTGCTTGGTAGATCTGTATTGAAAGTGTCACAGAGCTGCATCCCCTATCGATGGACTTGCTGGGGGATGCTGGTGAGTCTGCCTCCTCCCTGGCTCAGTAAGCAAGCAGGCAGTGAGGCTCTGGATCTCCATGGGGGCTCTAGGGGAAGCACCCGTGCACTGTACACACCTTCACTGCCGAGGCTAGCTGTCGGTCCCGCTCCTCCAGCTGCTGGTGCTCGTTCTGCAGCTCGCTGCCACGCTGCAGCAGCTTCTGCTTCTCCTCTTCTTTGACTAGGAGAGAAGGACCAGGTCTCATAGAGAGGACAGGTGATCAGCTATCAGGCCAGAAGTGAGTGGAGAGGCAGGAAGGAGAGAACCAATGCCCAAGTCTCACTCCTGCAGGAGCCAGTGGTCTGGCTGATGCTTGGGGACAGACCCTCCTTTTCAGAGCTCTGGCTTGGAAGACCCTGGGCCTACCTAGCCTCCCAAAGGTTCCACATGAACCCAGAGGCCTGAATGGAGGAGGGGGAGCAGCTGACCATTCCCCCTCCCTCCAACCCCACTCCCAGCACTAGGGACTCCTTACCTGTCTTGTGGGTGACGTAGGAATGCACAATGGCCAGCATCCCAGTCCAGGGCACACCCTCATCTTTCTTTAAGGCCTGGAAGGCAGAAGGGGAACTAAGAAAGCAGACAGACCCTGGGTTCTGCTGGGGCCATACTGTGACTGTGTAACTCTGAGAACATGTTCCCTGAGCCACAGGTTCCCCAACTATGACTAGGGATAGTGGCCACATCAGCTCAACTCAGAAGCTGCTGCCTGAGAACAGTTCCACGAGGCACAGAACCTTCTGGGTCTTTCTCTCTGGTAGCAGCCAGGAAGGCTGCTAAGCACCCCATAATTCACAGGACAAAGCCCCATAACAAAGGATTAAGGGTCCAAATGTCAACTGTGCTGAGTTCCAGAAAGCTCCTTGGACACCCAAGCTCCTCTGGCCACCTAAAACACTGCAAACGAAATGCTGGGAGTGCATGCACGGCCGTACCTTCTGCTGGCACTTGGGACATAGCCACATGCCCTTGGGTGCTGTCTTTAGGGGGGGCTGCAGGCAGCTGAGGTGGTAGGCCCCCGGGCAGGCACCACAGGGCTGCAGGTTGGCCCCTCGCTTGCACGCTGCACAGTGCTCATCATGGGTGATCTCACTCTAAAAGAGAAGGGCAGGAAGTGGCTCAAATGGGACCAGGGCAGCTCTAGAAAGAGGAAGAGTGACAGTGCAGTGCCAAGCCTGGACCCCTGCAGGAGGCACCTGGCCTGACTGGCATGATTCCAGGACACCACTTGGCCACAGGGGTCAGCACACGGTGGACTCCAGGTGTGGTCCCACTGTGGTAGGAGCCAGGCTGAAGCTTGGGACCAGCTGGACAAGCAATCCTCTAAGCAGCTGCTCTACCTGGCCAGGGAGCTTGGCACCAGGGTGAGTCACAGCCGGTTCCACATCCTCACTGCTGCAGACCCTATGATGGAGGCATATGGAACCTTCCACTCACACTGGGCCAGGAGCAGTACAGGAAGAGCGAATGGCCCCTCAGCTGCCCTGACCAGAGGCCTCAGCAGATGGTCTCTGACCAGCTTCCTGTCACCCACCAGGACCCTTCTCCCTCAAGTCATATCAACAGAGCTGAAATGACCAGAAGGCTTTCATCTAGTACAGCCCACACCACCAGGACCCTGGATACCAGACTGTCCCAGAAGGAGGGCACAGCACCCCCAGACATATCACTGGAGGCCTCCCATCTATAACCCTCATTTCAATGTGAAGGCCCAGGGAACGGTCAGACACTCACCCCGGGTCACATAGCAAGCTGGAGGTAGAGCCTGGGCAAGCATCCAGGTCCCTACATCCTTGGGACCATATTGGGGAGGACTACCCATTCAAACCTGGCCACCAGCCCTGCAGTGAAGCCAGGTTCTGCCTGGCAGGAGGAAAGCACGCTGGGTGTCTTAGGAGGCTCTGGGCATCAAAGATAGAGTGAAGGCTCTCATCTCAGCGCCAGGCCGGGCCCCCTTCCTGGTAGTGACAAACTGAATACATGCCCCGCCCCCCAGGGAAGACGGGGCACATACCTTCCAGCAGGGGTCCTCATTGGCTGCCACAGGGAGGAAGGGCGGAGAACATGTTAGTGGGTGTGAGGAGATGAGCATGGGTCAGGACTGGGGTCCTCACCCCAAGGCATGATGGGAGAGCATTAGGAGGCCCAGTGATGCCATAAATTCTCATCAGGGCATGAGAGTAGGGGAGGGGGGGACCTCTGCCTTGGTCTTGGCCAGGACCCACCCCAGAACAGGCTCATTATACTCAGTGAGGAATCCAGGGATCCTCAAAGTGACTCAGTTCCAGCTCCTTTCAGCCATAACCCTTGCATTCTAGGATGTGCTGTCAAACCACACATTGAAGTCACCACCAAAGTGGTTTTCCTTTCAGGTTCTGGGTTAGACACCTGGTTCTGGGCAAGGACACCATCCAGGGGACGCATGGTCCTGTCACACAGTCTCAGCAGTCTGCAGAGTGCTGTCAGCCCGTTCTATAGATCAACAAGGAGACCCAGGGTGGTGCTTGAGGTGCTGAAAGCTACACAGAACCCCAAGAAGCAAGCAGCTGTTCCCTGTTTTCCAAACTATCTACAGTTTCCCAGAGGACAGTAACAAGAGACCACTGAAGCTGGTGTTCATAGGTGTAACTCCCCTGGGTCTTACAAAGGGGCAAGGATGGCAGAGGGAGGAGGGGCTACCTGCTGAACTCTAAGATAGAGACCCCAACCCAGGCCCCTGTCTGTTGGAGCTGGGCCCAGAACTTAGGTCTCCCAGACCAGCCTGGGTTCTCACTGCTTGGAGCAGGCCCAGGACGGTGGCAGGGCATGGGGCTGGGAGGCATCCAAGTACTCTCTCCAGGGCTCAGGTGGGCCACCCCAGTGGAGGTAAAGCATTCGGCCCAGCCCTAGTGGGTCCTGCCAGTGTGGCCCTTGGTATCACATGGCCAGTTCAAGGTACCCGGGGCTGAGCACAGACCCATGTGACCCTGGCTGACTGTGGGCTCCAAGCCTCAGCCTCTGCACCTGTCAGAGTGGAGTCCACTCCACCAGTCCCCCTTTTCCCCAAGTATACTGAGGATAGAAACCAGGCCCCAGAGCAGAGTTGCAGCTCAGTGGAGCTGCAGTTCCAGGCTGGCTTACCTCGGGCTGTGAGGAACAGAGGATTGTTGAGATAGCTGGAGGCCAGCCGCTTCCTCTGCAGGAACACAAAACACGACAAAACAACCCATCGTCTAGAGTCCTCCTGGGCCATGGCAGCCCTGCCCAGGACCTTCTGGGGACAACTCCCTGCCCTGGCTTTCAGAGGCCAAATGGATACCCTGTGCCACAGGCAGGAAAAGAGGTGAATATTGGGGACCGAGAGGTAGGAGTGGGTGGGGAGGGGGAGGCTCTGCCCTGCTATGGCAGAGAGCACCCTCTGCTCCCAGATATGCCTAATTCAGGAAGGATGGGCTGGAGTCCCACAGCAGGGAAGGTCAGTAACAAAGACAGCACTGCCCTCTCCATCCCATCCTGGGTCTTCCTTCTCTACTGGAGTCATGTGGGGAAATGGGGGGGCATATATATTGGCCCTCTGAAATATCACTTCTTGGCATATGGCCCAAAGCCTCACAGCTATGGAGGTTTCTGGGCACCCAGAAGAGTTGCCTCAGTCCTGGCTCTAACAATCCCATAGGCCACACTGTGCACAGTTTGATGGTTCTAAGTAGTTTGGGCAGGATGATGGTTCTAGAATTGTGTGATGGGCGTGACGGGTTCTGAAATATGTCTCTCAGGCTGTGTTCAGGGCGAAGGGAGGGACCCATGGAAGAGCTGCTCTTTGGTTTTGGTTTTGAGCGTATCTAAGGCTCAAGGCTCACGGGCTTTGAGCCACTGGCTAATAAGTTCATTCCAGGGCTGGCCACTGCCTTGGGGCCCTTGGGTAAGGCTCTGCCAACCAGCAGAGGACAGGTCAGAGAGAGGGGTCCTGGTCATTCAGAGAACACATTTCCCCCAGCAGTGGTCAAGAACTTGACTTTCTCACAAAGATTCCAGTGTCTGGCTCAGGTGATCAACTGATCCAGTCAGTGGGTTAAACTGACGTGTTCTGGGAACCAGATTGGGGTGGGGAGAGGAAACACAGGACAGGGTACATGTATCCTGAGGATACCCACTCTCCCCTGGACAGGGCAATGGAAGGACTGGAGCTGACCACTGCTCCCTGGGGGAGCCCTCCCTCCCTGTTAGGTTCAAGTTCACAAGACATGGATTCAGGTCAACTGGTCAGACTGATCCTCATCCTGGAGAGAAAAAATGGCTTCTCCTTCCCATCTCTTCAAAGCTTGAGTCTGACACCTGTGGGGACCTCTTTTTCCTCAGCACAGTGGCCCTGAGCTTGGACTCTGCAGAGGTGACCTTGGGGAGATGATACAGATTTTCACCTAAGAACTTTGGATTTTAATTCAAAAGGGCAAGAAGATTTCATTTGGATTCAGGTTCTCCCTGGGAATGGGAGGGGCCAGGGTGTACGCTAACCTTTGGTCACATCCAAAGATCACCTCGTCCAGCTGCTGTGGACATGGGGATGGTACCTGCTCTGGGAAAAGATCTGGGTGAGGAGGGAAGAACTGCCTTGGTAATTCATTTGGGTGTCCTAGTTAATGCAGGGTAGGGGCTGCATGATGTACACCAGCAGCCCCTGGGGATGCCACAGGAAGTGCCCCATGAAGCCTGGCCATTTTCCTGACACAGCCAGGCCAAGATAGTTCACCCAGCAGGGAGGACCATGGGTTCTGGGCAAACTGTAGCGAAGATGGGAGAACCGCATGAATCAGACAGCCTGGGTTCCCAGGCCTCTCCACTTGGAGCCCTCCAGCTAGGGCTCCTCTCCTCCCACCCCTCTCCCAGGGAAGAAGATGGATGCTTCACAGGGAGTGTGGGAGAAAGAACCAGTCATGCCACCCAGCCCAGCCCTTCTGGGCCTTTCTCTTTCTGTGTGTTCCACTCTGTCCCTTCCCTGCCAAGAGTTAACTGGACAGATTCTGTGTAAGAGGCCTGCGGTGTTCCCAGGAGGCGGGTGTGGGGGGAGCACGTGACCAGCTTTGCCTGTGACCAGGAGGTGCACCCATAACTCAGGAAGCCCAGTGTGCCAGTGTGTGAACACTCCCTAGGGCGACTTCTATTGGAAATAAAACATTTTTTTTATTGTGTTTTGAAACAAGGTCTCACTAAGTAGCCCAGGCTGGCCTAGAACTCACAGTCCTCCTGCCTCTGCCTCCTGAGTGCTGGGAATGCAGGAGTGGCCACCATGCCCAGTGACAACTGACATTTTTATTTCCTGTATCTTTTGCTTAGATGATTCTGGCCCAGGAGGCAAAGAGCATACAGTCACCCCTATTACAGGAAGGACAGGCAAGAGGTTATTGGTAAAAGGCCCTATAGACTCTTGCTGTGACTGCCTGGCTCCCGTGTGCCACCCCTGCCCCAGGGTGGCTGGGCCTACAGGTCCCACCTCAGTCTCCAGGAGGCCGCTGTAAGCAGGGTTGGCTGTGCTCCTTCTCTTCCGCTCCTGGCGCTTGCTCTGGATTTCTGCAAAGAGACATAGCAATCACTGGGTCCTTCCTGCCTGGGGACCCACATGATTGTTTGCCCAGCCCTGGGCACATGGTGCCCTCTTGACCTTCAGTGGCTGGGGCACATCAGAGTCTCCAGAAATTACTCCCAGGGCATCTCTGGTAACCTCAGGTTGTGTGTCAGGTTGGTGGGAGGGCAACAGGGACCCCTTGTGTGTCATTAGTCAGTCTCTGGCCATTTCTTGGGAACACAATGAGCAGCAGATGCCCACTGGCCTGACACTGCCCAGGCTGGCTTCAAAGAAACTGGCTCAGGCAGCCTCTGCCCCGTGCAACCTGCAGGAGGAAGCCTCAATGAGGCACAGCAGGTTCACGGTGCTGAGTGGGAACGTGGCTGTGCACACTGAGCAGGTTTTGTTCCCCTTCTGCCTTTCCTTTGCTGCCAGGTGGAATTTGCAACCTGCTCTGCCTCTATGGGCAGCTGTTGGGGCCTTTTCTCTTCATCCCTAATTAAACCTCTCCAGGACTGGTCTGCAGGCTTCCTCTAAGGCACCACAGACCTCAGAGGAAGAAGACAGGGTACAGCTAAATTCTTATGGTATCATTGCTGGGGTGGGATGGTGGGGAGGTTTTCACAATGAGGACTATTTACGTATCTAGAAGGCACTTCCCCTCCATCCTCATAATAATCCTGCAGAGTTTAAGGACGCAGTTTTCCCTAGGTTGGAGATGAGGAAACCGAGGTTAAGAGTGGCAAAGGAGCTTGCCCAAGATCACCCAGCTAGCAAATAGCAGGACTGGGATTCAAATACAGGACTGTATATCCAGCATCCCACACAGCCTCGATGCTCCAAAGCCAGAGCTTAAAAAGAGCTCTCCACGGAAAGCAGAAAAAGGAGCCTTCTGCTCAAGTTCAAACCATTAGACCGAAGGCTGAGCAGGCTTTCCAGCTCGCATGCAGAGGTGAGCCAAAGTTGCTCAGATGGGGCCTGCCCGCCAGGGCCAGGTCAGGTGAGCTAGCGCTTGGCAGGAGGGTCTCTTCCCTGGCCCTGCCCACCGCCCCTCTGCTAGCCGCTGCCAGGGGGCATGTGGGATGCAGGTGAGGCAAAGGCTGTCCTCTCAGAGTCTGTGGAAGGAAGGTCCAAGAACATAGGGACCAGCTGAGTTGGCGTGGCCTGTGAGACCTTGGCTGGGCTGGAGAGAAGCCACTTTGCTTCCCCTTCTTGCCCTGGCCTTAAGAAGGAAATGCAAACCAGCCTCCCTTCTCCACCCAGCTTTGCCTGGGGGTTTTCACTTTATGAAATGTCTTTAGCAGGGGGTGCAGGAGGAGGGCTCTGAGTTGGGAGGCTGGAGACCCGAGTTCCAGCCTGCACCTGGTATCAACTGACTGTGACTTTGGGCAAGTGAATCAACTTCTCTGGCCTCAGCTTCCTCTTGTACACAGTAAGAGGGTGGCTTCTATGCTGCTCATGTCCCCAGCTCACTGGCAGCCACATTCATCAGTAGGGGAAACAGCACCTCCATGGCCACACTGCCAAGTCTGCTCAAATAAACTGACGTCCTCATGTCCACTGCTCCACCTGGTGCCAACCTCAGTCTGGGGACATTCTGCCGCAGCTGGCACCCATGCTGAGCATGGCCAGGCATGGCTGGGCACTGCTCTTGGTGCAGCCCCCCAGGAAGGTCCCAATACCCTATTTTGCAGAAGAACAAACTGAGCCTCAGAGAAATGAAGGAACTTAGATTTGAGTGTTTAGCAAATGGTAGGACCGGGTCACCTCACTGCCTCCAGTGTGAGGACAGGGACTTCCAAATGAACAGGGAAGTGCCACAGTGGGGTCCGAGAAGGCAGGGGGCATGGAGAGCAGGGTTTCTCTGTCTGGTGTCTTGGATGACCACCACTCGTCTGCCAGCACCTGGGGCATAGCTCCCAGGAGGAGGATCACACCTGGACACAGTCCTAGACTAGAGGCACCAAAACCAGCTGGCTCTGAAGCCACACCCAGCTCTACCCATCACACCACCCCTGCCACAGCCCTGCCCTTACCTTCCAGGTGTTCCGTGGTGACCAGGCCTAGTGCTACCATGAAGGCAATTTTCTGAGGGAAGGAAGTGGGTGGAGAGGTGTTAACACGCGCTCGGCCTCTCATTTTCAACTGACACTTGCGGAGCGCCAGCTACTCGTGGCCGCAGAGCTGGATCCCTCCTGGATCCCCAACCCAGGGCCACCGATCCAGAAATCACACAGGAATTGGGTTCCCAGAGACACCCCAAGGAAGTGTTGGGGGCTTCCCACAGCACCAAGGGCTTCCTGCAGTTCTCAAATGCACTTTAGGACAGACACAAGTGGCCAACTAATCGCTTGTATATTGTTCCCATATTTACTAATACATCAAATGCCTGAGTCCACTGACACACTTAAAACCCAGTCCCCCAAACTTGGCCACAAAGTTGGGTCTCTTCCATGGCCTCCCCTCCTTTCCATCCTTTTGCTCCATCATTTTCCCTTCCTCCTTCTTTTCTTTTTTAATATCCATGAATATACTTTCCCCACTTGTTTGCAAGAACTTATTTAGTTTGATATAGCTGTGATGTCATAAAAGGGACACCATACTGTATGCAGCACTCATCCTACATTCCCCTGCAGTGGGAGGCAGACTCCGAAGATCCCATTCCCAGGTGCTCCCTTCCTGTGCAATCCCTGTGTGTGGGCAGGACCCAGGGATGAGATTACATGATCGGGCAGAGGTGATGGTACCCCTGGGACCTTATGTCACATAAGACCCTTGCAGCTGTCCAGAGGGAAGTTCCTGTGCTCCCCTTGGAGAAGAACCTGCCAGTTCTGCAACTGCTTCAGTGCAGAAGGGCGACCCCAGTGCCTCACAGTGCCTAGCACACAGTAAGTGCTCAATAAATACCTGCTGAGTGGATGACAAATCCTTCTTCAGCTGTGGTAAGAATTGCACCTCTATTTTCTTAGCCTACATTTTTATCTTTTGACTTGACACTGGGGTCAATGTCTTGACATTGTTTGGTACTAGGGATGGAACCCAGAGCTGGGCAAGAGCTCTACCACTGAGCTACATCCCCAGCCCTGGCTTACTTATCTTAGATGCAAAACTAATCAGAGTTTCTGCCTACCCCACACCCAGTTTCATTTTTTTTGGAGGGGGAGATGGGACTAGGGTTTGAACTCATGGCTTCACACTTGCCAAGCAGGTGCTCTACTGCTTGAGCCACACCTCCAGTTCATTTTGCTGTGATTATTTTGGATATGGGGCCTTGCAAACTCTTTGCCTGGGCTGGCCTTGAAACGTAATCTTCCCCAGTAGCTAGAATTACAGCCATGGGCACCTGGCCCATGTTAACACAGCACTTCATCACAACTAAAAACCAGTATGGGTGCACACATAATAAACCAAAGCCCATACTCAACTTGGAATGCCTTAGTTTTTATTTAATGTCTTTCTCTATCCCAGGATCCCATCCAGGTTCCATCTGACATTCTGTCATCACATCTTTTTGATTTTCTGGGCTGAGTTTGCAGCCTCTCCTTATTTTTGAAAACCTGGGCAGTTTGGAGGCTGCTCAGACAGAAATCATCCTGATCACATCATACCAGGGGCACCTGCTGTCACTGTAACTCATTGTTGACACACAGACTGGTCCCTGATGCCCCACGGCAAAGCTACCTGCCCTCTGGGAGGGTCACCCTGCATGGCCTACACTGGAGAGCAGAACCATGCTCTGCTGACACTGGGCTTTTTCCTTCCATGCTAATCTGTAAACATTGTTATGTAGCAGCATTTGTCAATGTTTTCTTTTGTAGTGTTTGGATCTTTGAGTCTTACGCATTGAGGTCATAAGGCAATTTGTTGTGTTTTACAATCTATAGTTTCCCTTTTATGTTTATGTTTTGATGCACTTGGAATTTACCCTGGTATGGAGGGCATGAAGAATGGACTCGCCGTTTCCCTGTGGCTGCCAGGTGTTCACCTGCAGCCCCACCCTCCCGTTCTCACTCAGCAAGGATCGCGTTACCTGTAAGCCATGCAGGTCTACTCCAGAGCCTGGATTTTGCTCCTTGGAATCTGCCTGCTCGCAAGCTGTAGCCAGACTTTCAGTGAGGAAGCCTGAACACTGTATTGGGACGTCTGGGAGGACTGGGGAACCACTGTTTCCCTGTTGTTTCTTTGGCTCTTCTTGCTTGTTGCCTTTAGGGTAGCGTATGCTGTTTTCGTTTCTGCATCCTACATCCGTAGTGGTGGATCCCGTGCTTGTCTGCTCACAAACCCCATGAGACTGTTTTCACATTTTTCCTGCAATCCCAGCTCAGGGCTTACTCCCTCATCCCTTCCCGAAACCCTTGTTTTGGCTGTGTAGTTTCCTTCCGTGGTGGTTGTTTTAGATTTGTTTTTAATTAAAACAAATTTGCTGGGATTTCTCCTAGGTAAAAACTGCTTCTCTTTCCTGTATTTTGCCTTATAGCATCTTTGTCCTAATGTTACACCAGATCCCCACATTTTTTGTTAAACGTAACTAGTCAAACTTTCCTAAAACAGCTACTTTAGATAACTCAAAAGTGCCTCCTCTACTGCCAGGTGAATGGACTTCATTCTTCAAACACCCGCCTCAGTGGGACCCTGCTTAACCACAGGTCTTCCAGCAAGGTTGAGAGCTCTGCCTCCCGCCCTCATTCAGAGTGCACCTTTGTTGCCTGCTGGCCCTGCCGGTGCTTCCTGACACTCGCCAATGCTGACTCCCTCTTTCTCACTCTCACGTGTACCCAGCTGCTGCCTGACCAGCCCTGCCTAACCTATGTCCAGCTCAGAAGCGTCCCCTTCTCCTTTGCACAGGGAGATGAATTTCTTATTCTCAGGGAGCAAAGATGCAGCTGCTTCTGCACCTGTAGCTCCTCAGCCCTCTGGCACCCCTACCCCACCGCCCTCTGTGGCTCCCATCTGCGAGCTTCCTATGCAGCACTGACCTCAGCAGCCTTAGACAGCACTGATGTGGATTCTCTGGTCCAGTTTGGAATTCACAATCCAAAACCTTCTTGTTGCTCAGTGTGTATCTGCAGGAAGCGTCCGGTTCTTAGCACTTGCCCTATTCAAACTGGAAGCTCTACCCAGTCATTTCTGCCCTGCTTGGTCTACTAGCTTCTGACAGATGTATGTGAAACTGTATATTGTGTCTGTCGAGTCCCCACAGTTCCACCATCTGACTATGTATATTAAAACTATACTGTAGCCAGGCACTGGTGGCTCATGCCTGTAATCCTAGCTAGTTGGGAGGTTGAGATGGGGAGAATCGAGGTTTGAGGCTAGCCCAGGCAAATAGTTTGTAAGACCACATCTCTAAAATAACCAGAGCTAAATGGACTAGAGGCATGGCTCAAGTGGTAGAGCACCTGTCTTGCAAGTATGAAGCCCTGAGTTCAAACCTCAGCCCCACCAAAATAAAAACTGAACAAAAAGCCATATTGTTATGGCATATACAAGTTTCTGACAATTAATTATCTTGGTATTTGTGTACTTGTTTTTCATTCTGTTATTTTCAATCTTTCTGCATTTTAAGATGCCTCTTAAAGCAACATATAACTAACTGGATTTGTTGCACCCTCCCCCCCTTTTTGAGATAGGGTCTCACTATGTTGCCAGGCTGGTCTTGAACTCCTGGCCTCAGGTGATGCTCAGGCCTCAGCCTCTGGAGTAGCTGAGACAGCAGGTGTGTGCTACATGGCCCAGTTTTAGATTTGGTGCCTTTAAGTCTATTTTCTTAAGTGTTGAAAGTTCCCAGTTTGCTGCGGTTACTGATCTATTTGGACTTAGGTTTTCTTCAATTTATTTTCATTTTCAGTTCCTCGTCTTGGTTTTTTTGCCCCCCATTCTTTTATCTTCTTGAAAAAGTGTTCCACACAAACTTTTTTCCTCTGCTCAGGTGAAAACTTCAGTGGCATTTTACTCTTTTCAGTGATCAGCCTACACATTTTAGCTCGGTTACTAACCACCACGATTGACGCAACTTAAGTCCTCACTCCACGCTGGCCTGAGGGTGTCAAACCCATCTGAGGGCAGCACCTGCAACCAACTGCTTCTATTGCCTGCAACTTCCTTGTGTCTGTTTTTGTTTTGTTTTGTTTTGTGACAGGGTTTCACTGTGTGGCCCTGGCTATCCTTAAATTTGTGACCTTACTTCGGGCTCCAGGCACCAGAACTGCAGGCCTGTGTCACCGCACACAACGGTGCAGGGAATTCAGCAACCCATACTTCCACATTTACCCGCCACTGGCAGATTTCAGCTGTGGTTTCTTATACTGCTCATGGCTGTTCCCACTTTACTTGCCTTCTTGCTAAAACACAGTCCTCCAAGTGATGGTGTGTGGGGACAGCACTCTTGGGTCTCTACATCTAAACATGTCTCCATTTTGCCCTTGCTTAGTGGACACAAACTCCCGAGTCGGCAGGCACTTCCCGCACAGTCTGTGGACCGCAGTGTGGTCTCTGGCAGAAGCTGCAGGAAGTCATGCATGGTCATTACCCTTTGTCTTCGCCCTGGCAGTTTTCATGACTTTCCCATCTTTACACACATGTCTAGCTTTCTGGATTTCCCGTTAGTAATCCTGTCCGTTAGAAGGCATCCACTTCTGATCTAAGAACTCGGACGGACGCTCCTCCACCTGGGAACACTTTGATTTTGACTTCCCTTTCCTCCAGCTGGTGCTTCTCCTTTCCCTCCATCCACCCTCTCCTGCCGGTGAGGTCCTCGGCCGCCTGCTGTTTCCTGGCTGCTCCTTCCTGTTCCTGTCTCTTCCACCTCTTTGCATCTCTGTGCTACATCCAAAGCATTAGCAATTGTCTACCTGTGAGGTTCAGTGATTTTTAGGATTTTATCTAATTCTTAGATTTGTGCAATCTTTTTTGCTGTTGGGACGGGTTCTTGCTATGTAGTCCAGGCTGGCCTTGAACTTGAGATCCTGGTTTCAGCATCCTGAGTGCTGGGATTTCAGGTATGCGTGACAATACTGACCTTATTTTACTTATTTTGGCTTTATTATTCCTTTTTTAAAAAAAAAAAACAAACTTCTTTGAGTATGCTGAAGGAAGTAAACATACTTTTTAAAAAAGTAGTCCAGAGGCCTTTTCATTTTTTACATCATGTCATGAATTCACAGGAAATAGGTCCAGCAGCCCAGGCTCCTTCCCAGTGCTTCTCTGAGCAGAGTGGGCTGGTGTTCAGATAATCCAGGTTCCCTCCTCTTGGCTTCCTTTCTCTTCTGATCGTTTTCCTTCACACGTTTCGGAAAGTTACTTCCACTCTTAAGAGTGCTCAACACACACCAGTTCTCCTGGCAAGACTCTTGCCCTTAACTTGCTTGTTCACAGCAAGGCCTACAGTGTGCTGGGTAACACTGGAGACCCCTCCAGTTTTGCCATGGTAACACTGGTGGACATTCCTTTTTTTGAACAGTCAGTACTCATTCCCTTGATGTCTACAATGTCATCCTTCTTTGTAAATTCACACGTTTGGGGCCAAAGGAACAACTCCATGTTTTCACAAAGGCCTCTCCCTCTTCTCTCCCCCTTTGTGTTTGGAATTTTGACAAATTACTGGAAGATGGTGGCTCCGGCTGAAGGGAGGCTAAACACATACTTAAGGCTGTTGCTAAAGTATTCCATCTCATATCAATTCGTGTTCCAAATGCTGATCTTACCGAGTACTATCCTTTGCACTAGATCTCATGTACTCCAAAATTCCATCGACTCATTTGAGGCACGGCATCTTTTGATCTTTGTTTTCTCTCCCTCTTCCCTCTTTCCCTCCCTCCTCTCTTCCCCTCTCCCCCCTTCCTTCTCCTCCCCTCCTCTCTCTCCCTCTCCACCTCTTCTCCCCTCCTCTTCCCCTCTACCTCCCTCCCCTCTTCCTCTCTTCTCCTCCCCCTCCTCCTCTCCTCTCTTCCTTCCTCCCCTTTTCTCCCTCTCCCCCTTCCCCTTTCCCTCTCTTCTCCTCTCTCTCCCTCTCCTCCTCCCTCCCCTCCTCTCTCCCTCTCCTCCCTTCCTCTCTCTTTCCCGCTTTCCCCCTCCCCCTCTCTCCTGCCACTTTTTCCTTCCAAGGAGTGGCCATGACCTCTACCTGGACCCGCCTCCCAGGACCAGCTGTGGCCTAAGGCACAAGTTGGCTCCCAGAAAAGCAGAAGAACAAGGTCCACTCTCTGGGGACCACAACCTCGCCTGAGCTGCCTTCCCTCCCAGTAGCCCTTGCTGGATTCTGAGGCCAGAGCCCAAAGGCCCAGGGCGTTGGTCCCACTTGACTGCTGTGGTCTGGGGACAGAGAAACACAGAGATCCATTTTTATTGTCCTGCTACACATGTGTGTTTCTGCAGGGGTCTGCCCATGTGAGAAATTCAGCCACCAGATGGAGTGTCTGATGGACTTCAAGGGGGAAGGGAGGCTTGGTTGTTTCTGCACGTTTCCTGTGATGGACAGACAGGGAGGAACCCATGGAAGCATGCCCAGAAGCCCAGGGGACAGTTGAGGCAGGAACCTGGGCTTCAGCCACAAAGCTGTTGATGGAGCATGTGAGTGGACAAGTCCTGCCCAGAGAGGTGGCAAGGGCTGGGTGGCACTAGGGCTTGTGTGAGATGGGCTGAGCTCCACTGCCCCTCCACAGAGTCCGTGCTGATTTGAGGGACTCAGACTCAGTCAGCAGCTGCCTAAGGCCATGATAATGGGTGGCCCCAGAGAGCCTCGGCTCTGCTCTCCAAAAGGCATGGGCCTGGGATAGAGAGGCACAGCAAGAGCTGGGTCAGGAGCCAGGAGTCCAGGGTCTGAATGGCTCGGCATGGAGCCATGGCATGGCTTGCCAGTGAGATCCTGTTCCCTTCTCTGTAAAATGAACGATGTCATTCCTGCCTGCCTTCCCAGAGACACTGAGAGGACATGGGAGAAGAAAGAGCAGCACAGTCAGTGATGAGGCTTGGCAGAGATCTGGAGTGCCATGTGTCCTTACAATGCCTGAGTGGGCTCTGTCACTTCATGTCCCCGAACTTCAGCTCCCAGTTCACCTCTCAGGGTTGCTTCAAGGCTCGGATGACTCCAAGCCTGTGAGCACACGTCACAACTGTAGTGTGTCTCAGAAAGAAGAGCCCTGCAGTAGAACACGGTCCACCTGCCCTTTCATTCTCACTGCAAGAAACCCCAGGACTAACTTCCGATGTCAAGATGACTGAGAAGCCCACAGACTGCAGCCAAACAGGCTGCCCCAGCCCCCACCTCCTAGTCTGAGTTGTCTGCTCTTCATTTCTTGTTTATTTCCACAGCTGTCATTTCTGGCCAGCCCTGGAATCAGAGGAGTCTCCAGTGGGGTAGCAGAAAGGCCTCAGATGGTGCGGTTGGAGGCCCGGTGTCCAGCCCCTACCCAAGGTTGAGCAAACCATCCCACTGCAGTGAGCCTTGAACTAGAGGCCTCAAGTCCACCTACATGGTGACTCTGTGGGTCTAACAGGTGCATAAGGCTTCCCGCTCGGCCTGTAGCAGAGTGTGTAAGGATGTGCCAAGGCTTCCCCAGCCGTGACCCTGACGAGGTGACCTGCGGGTGTCCATGGAGAACAAGCAGGACCACCTCAGCTACATACAAAAGGAAGACAAGCAGGTCCTTCAAGAAGGTTCTGACCTTAGTCACAGGAAGAGGGAACACATCCAAAAGATCGGCACCACTTCCTCATACCCGTTCTGATTTCGGGGATGGATGTGCAGTACGCAGAGGCATCAGTGCATAGGGCAGGGAGGAAGGAGAAAGAAGGCTAAACCAGGGGGTGAAGATGAGCCAGACAGGGTTCCTACTGCAGGCCATGGGCCCTCACGCCTGTCCTGAGGTGGGGGTCCTGGTTCCAGGATCCCATGGGTACCAAAATCCTCAGATGCTCCAATCCCTTATTAAAAAGGGACCAGAGTCTTTAAGTCATCTTTAGATGATCCTACGTAAACACTGACGAGAGCTGTCATGCTGTATTGTTCAGAGAATAATGAAAGAAAAAAGCCTGCAGGTGTTCAGTGCAGGAGCAAGCCGGGAGATGGACAAGGCTAAGTAAGGACTGATGGAGGGACCAGAGCATCCATGAACCCCAGGAAGCCATGAAAGGTGTGTTCACACACCACTCCATTTCTGTGGATTTGGTGTGGAACTTGGCTTGCAGCAAATTTAAGTTTTGCTTATGGAACTTTTTCTGGACTCTTTTTTAAAAAATATTTTTGACCTAAGGTTGGTTAAATACATGGACATGGAACCTGTGGATGGGTTACAGACGGGGTTGTGAGCTCCCTACCAGTCAGAGCAAGGAATGGTGAAGGAACAGTAATATTTTCCTCTCCCCAATCCATTGACCTTCTAGAATGCCTTGGAAGTGCAGGGAGTCTGGTGAGGTATGAGGACGGCCTGCAGCCCCCCGGAAAGTCAAGTAATAGAGGCTCTTTCACATCTGTCATCTTTATTTGGAGGAAAGGCTGGAGCTGCAAGGGGAGACACCAGGGAAGGAGGAAACTCCAAAGCAGAGGGGGCCTTTCAGGTCCTGGGCTATAGCCAGTCTTGGTCTCCCTCTGGAACTCCATATTTAGCATCGTCCACCTTGTGCCTGTAACTATTGCACTGTGTAGTTAGGCCTAAGATGGCTGCATCTGTACTGAACACCTTTGGGCTTTTTTTTTTCCCATTATTTTGTGAACAACATAACTGTTGATGTAGTGTTTTCATTATATCACATGTCATAAGTCACCTAGAGATGCCTACTGTGTGTAGGTCGTATGCAAATATATGCCATTTTATATAAGGCACTGGAGCATCCAAAGATTCTGGTATCCATGGGATCCTGGAACAGTCTCTCCAACACCCAGGGACAACCGGGTGGAGCCATGCCCTGCAACATGAACCAGACGGCCTCCGTGGGTCCTGACTCAGCTGGTTACTATTTCTGCAATTTCTGTGTCCTACCTGAGCAGCAGGCTCACAGCAGCCAGGCCTGTCACTGCCCACAGAAGTGAGCTTCCCTACGGCAAGGCGCCCTCTGCCTCCTCCTCTCATCCTCCCCAGGCTGCAGCACAGTGCCCGGCAGGGAGAGAACCTCCAGACCCATGTGGATACCAAGGGAAGATGCAAACGGGTTGGGCGGGGGACTTCTCTGGAACAGCAACACCTGGACAGACAGAACGTCAGGAGCTTAGGGGCCAGAAGGTCTGGGGGCAGCTGATGTGGGGCAGGGCAGGGCACTTGGAGGGAACCAGGTCTGAACAGAATCTCATAGGATGAACATGGGTTTGGCAGCAGGACAAGAAGGATCCAGGTGGGAAGAGCGTGTGGGAAAGACCAGGAGAGAGCACAGAGGCTCTGGACCTGGGACAGCGGAGGACGCAGCTGCAGCATAGCTGAGCCAGGTCACTCAAGTCTAGCCTTGAGTACCCCATGCTGGCAGGTGGAGGCATGGCAGCAGACTGCTAGACCAGTTATGAGAGTCTGTTTCTCCTTCCTCCTCCAGATGGGGATGGGGGGGGCGCTGTGTGTGATTTCTGGAAAGTTCTTCAGGCACCTCTGGGCAATGTTTCCATCTCCTGTTCCAGCCTGAGGCAGCAGCTGACTGCTAAAGTTTTCCCAGGATGAACCACATTAGGGCCAGTGCTGCCCAGGGGGAAAACCATCCCCTCCTGGTCTGAGGGCCCTGGGAGGGTGATGTTAACTCAGAATTCTCCAGCAACCCTAAGGAAGTAAGTCTTATGGTCTCGAATTACAGATGAGGAAACAAGATTTGCCCCTAATCACACCACTGGATGTTGGCACCACTGAGACTTGGCCAATGCTAAAATCTGCACTGACCACTGCCCACCCTGCCACCCTGCCAACACTGAGACTGGACAGCTGAGACTGGCTCAGTGGGGGAGTCCCATCCTAGTACTGCCCACGGCACTGGGTGCTGTGCCAGAGCTGGTCTAGACCCTCCCAGTGAAGCCATCCTCACTCTGCACAGACCAGGTGCTACAGCCAAGTCGGCTCGTCCTACCTCGGGGTTCTCCTGGCTCGCAGGCTGATCTTCCTTCTTCTTTTTGGTGGCCTGAGCTCCCTGAGATAGCTCCTCTGAGGGTGGCCGTGGCTCTGCTGAATTTTCAGGCTGTGTCTGCACTTGAGGCTGAAGGATGATGACCTGGAAAATGTGGCAGAAGGTAAGGGGTATAGGGCTGAGGGAGGGAGTGGTGGGGCCAGAGGATTCAGGCAGGGGTGAGGGGCAGAGAGCCCAAGGAGGGAGGAGTGGAGGGCAGAGGGACTAGGGAGGGAGGAATGGGAGACAGAGAGCCCAGGGAGGGAAAGAGGCAGCTGGGAGGGTCTATGTATGTCCTGAAAGATGAGTCACAGAGGAGCAAGGTGACTGGTACCCATTTTCTGTCCAGGGCCTGAGCCTCCCAACAGCCTTTCTCCCTATGAGAGGGTCTGCATGAGAAGTGGCCAGGTTTGGGAAGCAGAAAAACATGGGCTCAGATCCCGCCCTATCATTTTCCCGTCGTGTGGTCTCAAAGATGTTACTCGGAGCCTCAGCTGCTTCATTATTTAAATCCAGGCAGACTCCGAAGGTTCAGGCTACAGGAGTCCAGGGGACTGCCCTCTAAGTGCAGACACACTGAGGCTAGGAGGATTTAGACATGTCGCCTGCCTGGGACCATCAGGTTAGGAGGCACTGGGGCTGAGCCTCTTCCCAGGTCAGTCTGACAGTACTGCCTGTCAGTAATTCCCCATGGCCCTACCCAGGACACTGTGCCTGAGGCACTCAAAACTAGCTTGGAGAAGACAGGTGGCAATAATGACCCATCTTTAGCAGACCAGGATAGCTGGCCAGTGACGGATATGTCCGATGGTGAACAGTGAGTCTGAAATCCAGATATCCAGCCTCTTCCTGGTCTGAGCACCCTTTCTCTTGCTTCTCGCTATTTCTTTTATTTATTTTGGGCAGGGATCTGGAAAAGAATTATCATTGTTCATGAATCTCAGAAAGAGGAATTCACAAGGAGCAGCTGGGCAGGATCTGGCTCAAGTCAGGAATTACTTGAATTGTTTTGTTTTTTTTTGTTCCCCTAAGAACACATGACAATTGTCATGAATATGAGGCTCTGAACACAAAGAGGAAGTGTATACCCTTTTTCTGTTGGATTGAGGGAAACTCTTTGTTCTTTGCATCCATTTTTAAAACCTCAAATTCTCTGTATGGAAAAAAATGCCCCTTTTCATGTTCACAGGAAGAAAAGCATTAAGCTGTCCAACAGAAAAAAAGAACAAGAATTCCCTGAAGCCTGTCACAGAGGAGACAGGGTGCCCAAAGAGTGAAGGAAAACGTTCGGGTTTAATGATCAGAAGAATCCAATATTCAGCAACGAGACATCTGCTTCCACCCATTAAATGAGCAAGGTGTTTAAAATGCCAACACTGAATGCTTGTGGGGCTACGCCCACTCATTCAACAAACGCCAGCCAGCCGAGCACCCATCTGGATCACGTGCCATCTTGGGAGGCACCTCAAGACTCTTTAGGCTCTGAGAATCCTTCCAGATACCTTCAGCATGTGTGTGATGGCTGGGGAAGGGGGAGGAGCCTGGAGGCAGAAATGAGTTACTACCCACAGAAATGAGTTAGTACACAATGACGTGAGGTCACATGAAAGGGGAGCACCAACATTTGAGCTGGGGAAGTAGAAGAGCATTAGTCAGTCGCAAGCGAGAGAGGGAACAGACGGAAAGAGGACATGTGGCCCCAAGGGCCTTAAATAGGGAAACCACCCGGGAAGCTCCAGAAGGTACAGGGACAGGATCTTTGTTTTAGCAAGAAGTCATAGATTTTTCCATCCAGGCACCTGGGGTTTACAACAGTCCTTGACCACCTGACTCCAGCAGAGAGAGATAATCAGTACTGGGCTCTCTTGCAGCAGTTACTCATTCAGCCACACATTTTACTAGTCAATTATTCTAATAAGTACAGCAATCGGTTTGTCAAGCAATTATTCTTTTTCCACAGGCATTGATTCATTCAGCCATACTTTCCATTGATCACACAGTCATTCGTGATTCATTGAGCTGGTCACTTACGAATGCAGCACGCACACTATCACTCATCCACTCACACACTGGTTCATCCTCCTGGCTGTCCACTCATACTCCAGCCAATCATTCATTGGCCACCTGACCACTGCACCTCTTGGGCAACTGCCTCTGAGATTCCCCTGTCAGCCACGTCCTCTCAGGGGCCTGCTAGGGGCACTCACCTTGCTGTCGGCACTGATGAGGAGGGGCTGGACTTTGATGCTGTCATTGACCACGGGCACGGTGGTGCTGGGGGTGATGGCGGTGGCATTGCTGGAGGAGGTGGAGATGATGGCATAGGCCACCCCAGCACTGCTCAGGGGTGAGGTGATGGCGGTGGGCTCGGCGAGAGCCTGGGGCTGGCTGCCGGGCGTTGGCACATGGCTGACAGTGTTGTTGGCAGTGGGGAGGGCTGGACTGGGGTTCTTGATGCTGACCACTGTGGCCTTCTGGAATGCTGGGGGCTGCTTGGGCGGCCGGTCCCTGCCTGGGGTGATGGGGAGGCTATCTGGAATCAGAGTCTTTGGCCTAACCTGGGAGAAAGGGATAGGTGCGTGGTCAGCCAGAAAGACATAGCAGGTGATGGAGGCACAGCATAGCAGCAGTCCTGAGCAGATACAGCTCAGACCCCCACATTAGAGGGGAGGAAAGAATATCAACTCTGCCAGAGAGTCCACCCCGAGTCTCCCAGTGGTCCACCACCTTCCTTGCCCAAGGATGCACTGACCACCACAGGACTCAGGGGTTGCCGCTCAGGGGCCAGCCTCTTCCAGCTCAATCAAGAGAAAACAGGAAGGTCAGAGAAGAAGGTGGAAAATTAAACCAGGATAAGCCAGAGGGAAAGCCATACCGCTCTTTCCCACCAAGTCCCCTGCACAAAGCCCCAAGACATACTGCAGACAGACTGTGTCAGAGGCACTGGGAGAGCTGTCCTTGCTCAGAGCCAGGTGGCCAAGGGGCTTCTTCACCCTGCCCACTCTGCTCTTCATTGTGCATGGGGTGGAGGAGTCTGTGCTCCCTTGAAGACCATGGAACAGTACCAGAGGGTATGTGTGTGTGTCCTCATCACACTCTTAAGGAAGCCACACATGAGGAGTAAGTGTAAGCGGCAGGCAGCCCTCAGTGGCTCAGGCCAGGGCTCTGTTCAAGTCACCTGGGACAATCCTGGCTCCTCCACAATACTGCTGAATGTCCCTGGGCCCATGTCCCTTGCCTGTGCATGGGTGTGTGTGGGGGGGGGCAGTGACAGGACCTGGCTGCAATCAGTGAGTAGGTAAGATGCACAGCCTCCTAACCACTTTGTGTTCTCATCACTACAGCCACAAAGCAGCAGGCCCTGATGCACACCTTGTCCCCTAAGGGAGGTCTCCAAGTCCTGGGGCCATGGTGGCACCACCTCCTTAGAGAAACAGGCTTGAGAAAGGACTTAGTTTCTTGACTTGGACTCCACCACAGCCATAGTACGAGGCAGGGGGCCTGGCCAGTTCCACAGAGGAGCAAACGGAGGTGTGGTAAGACAACTCCAAAGAAAACAGCATCAACCTTGATCAGAAGCCTCTCTCTGGAGTCTCAGTCCTAACCCTCCTGTGCCAAAAGGCCTTGCATAGCTGCCCACTGCCCACAGAGAGGCCCGAGTCTATAGCCCAATACCTGGGCCCTCCAGAGGCCTCCGTTGGCCTCTCCACCTCCCCCTCTTAATGTTGGAAGACTGTGACTCCGGCTGGCCTCCCTGCAACCTCAGCCTTGGTTCTCACCTGTGCCCTCCTTGTAGAGGCTCTCTGTCTTGTGCCTGGCCCTCCTCGTACAACATCCTCGTACCCCAAGGCCTGGTTCAAGCACACCCCCGACTCTGGAGCAGGACAGGCTGCTTCAAGTTTCCCACCATCCCTTTAGAGCCCCTCAACGGCTAGTCATCTTGGTTCAGAGCATCTGTTTCCTTGAGACTCTGCCTCTTTTAGGGGCAGGACTCTGTGGGATTAGGACCAAGAGAGCACTCAGGAAACGTTGCCACATGGACGAGGGTCCAGAGCAGCTGTCTCTCAACTGGCGGTCACTGTCCAGCCTGCAGCTCCACGATAGGCAGGGGCCATCTTTATCTGTGTGGCCCCCAAGTGGGGATGGTATACACAGCAGGAGCTTAACAAAGCTGAGTGACATTGAAGAAGTTACAGGGTGACTGTGGTGTGCCAGGCACAGGTACACATACTCTGTGTCACCCCCACGGTTGACAAATCCCGGTAGTGACCTGCCACATCGATTTCACAACTCACTGTTGAAAAACCAGATTCCTCATGTGAAAAACCTGTTCCAAATGTGTCCTTTCAGAATGCACAAAGTGGGTGGGGAAAGGTGCTGCCTGCAGAGGGATCCAGAAGGCCGATGCTGAGGGGTAGGGGACAGACAAAGAGTCAGACAGATAGCCTCTGCCCCAGGCTGCTTACCTGAGGTAGCACTGCCGCTCCTTGCCCGGCCAACCTCTGCAAGGAGCTGACCTGAGGACCCGTGACAGGCACTGCAGTGATGGCTCCCAAAGCCTGAAAGACAGAGAGCATACTGGGTGGACGCTGGGACAAGATGGACAGGGAGCTGACACTAGACGCACCCAGCCTGGGTGGCTTCCTTTGCTAATGATCGTTTTAAGTCACAAATATAAGCTACCTTCATTCGAGAAACCTTGGAAGCTAGAGAAAGAAAAAGCATAGCACTGCCTAAGAAGCAACCACCCGTTTGCACACCAGCTTTGGTTTTTACGTGAAGTTTTTATACAGCGCGACACAATCGTGTAACCTGCTTTTACTTAGGGACACGTGAGATTTCCCAGTGTTACTCTCATCTCCGCCATCATTCTTTTAATGACTGCAGTCCTCCATTTTTCAGGCATGATGGTATTTCCTCAGCCCTCCTCCCCCCAGGCTTGGGTTTTAGCTCATCCTTTCGCAGGTAAGCCATCCTGCAGTCAGCACCTCTGAGGATAAAGCCACTGCCACACTGCAGAGTATTTCCAAGGACAGAGTCTGAAAGCAGGGGTTAACGGATCAAAACGCAGGAGTATTTTCAGGGCCTTGAAACCTACTCCCCACTGAGTCCCTGGGTCGGGAAACACGGGCCCCAATGCACTCCTCGAGTCCCAGCTCCCCACGCAGGACTCTCCAGGCACAAGGAGTAGACCTCCACAGGAGCAAGGTGGACATCTGGGGTGGAGATAAGAGATGACAGCCCACAGGGGCTCCAGGCCCACTCAAGTATAGAAGACGTGCTTTGCAGTGGCCACCTCTGTGAAATCTCCTGTGGGAACCTCCACTCTCCATGGAAGTTCCACGCACCATGTCTCTACCTGACATGCCTGCCTGCCGGAGAGAGGTACCACGCATTCAGACCAGCCAAACCCCTGGCCAGCAGATGCAACAACTCTTAAGAGAAGGTTAGCAAATCAATTCCAACAGCAATGAAAAGGATAATACATCAGGGTCAAGGTTAAATTCACCCCAGGAATGTGAAGAACATTCTGGAGAAGGAAAATCACCCACTTACATCAGGGAATACAGAACAAGGTGCTACAACCAACATAGGAGCTAGCAAGGTTGCCAGATGCAAGAACCACACACAAAAAGCAACTACATTCTTATATGCTAGCCACCAACGCTTAGCAATAATAAAACTTTTAAAATTCCACTTGAAAGAGCATTAAAAATAACAAGAAATATTGAAGGCCAGGCACGGAGGTTCACACTCATATTCCTAGCCACTCAGGAGGCAGAGAATGGGAAGATGATGGTTTGAGGCCAGTCTGGACAAGCAGCTTGTGAGACCAATTGAAAAAACAAAAAAGCTGGGCGTGGTGGTGCACACCTGTCATCCCAGTAAATAGGAGGATCAAGGTCCAGGCCAGCCTGGGCACACCAGTGATACCCTCGAAAAACAGCTAAAGCCAAAAGGGCTGGTGGTGGTGCAGAAAACGTCACAGAAAGTAAGACTGACCAGCGAGAATAAGACTCAAACCCAGGTGGTTGGAGGAAAGGAAGGTTTATTACACTACCTAAAGGTGCCACCACCTCCTGATAGTGCCACAAGCTGAGGACCAAAACTTTAGTGAATGGGCCTTTGGGGTTCTTTTAAGATCCCAACGTAGCACCAACCATGTGCAGGGTGCTACATATAAATTACACCTCAACAAACCTGTTAAAAATAAACTCCTTTTCTATGTCCCCCTCATCCACGATCTCTGCGCCTCTAGAATGAATCTCACCTACCCCCAAACGATACCACAGAAGGTCTCGGGCCCAAGCCACAGAGCCTCTTCTCTGGATTACGACGGGATGCTTCTTCCTCCTCGCCAACTGCCCCACGTGCTGCAACTCTAGGAGGCTCGGGTCCATCCAGCTGACCACTGCCTCGCTGCACGGACAAAATCACCCCCACTGGACGCTGGTCAGCTGTGGGCTTCGGGTGCAATGCAGAGGACATTAAGCCAGGGTAGACACACCAGGGATCACAACTCAGCCCCACTGCTGCTTTAGGCTTCTTGCTGGTGGCAGCCCCAGGATAACGTCCTCAGTACTAGCACTGCTTTCCCAGTGTACGGGGAATGAACACGGTGCGGGCTGTCCTCCTGTCGCCATGGACTCCACCCCACAGCACCCCCACTTCCTCAGCATGATGTACACAGAAGGCTTTGACCTCTCCCTCTTCTGGCTAAGATGCTTCAAACAAGACTGGTCCAGCCTACAGGCAGGTTTGGGGAGGCTCTTCCAGACAAGGCATGTGTGTCTCCTGTGTGGGTCTCCCCGGTGAGTTCCTCGCGCTGGCTGAGTGTCCCATGCTCGCTGAGTGTTTAGCTACTCAGGTGCACATAGCTCCTGCCCTGGTGGATGGTGGCATTACTGTGGGTCTCTCTGGGTATCTACTTGGGTGTGTTTCCATATGGGTCCTTCTCCTCTGGGTATTTCTTTGGCTCTGCTTCTGTGTGTCTTGTGAGAGCCACTGTGGTAGTTTTGAGTGTTCATTTCTGCTGAGGCTCAGGCCCCCTTCCTGACTTGGGACAATGGTAACTCCTGTCTGTCACTTTAGGAATCACAGTCATGGAGGGGAAGGAATGGGAAGCCAGGAGAAGTAGGAGTGGTCAGGAGCCCCTGGGGTCAGAACCCCCAGAGGGATCAAAGACAGAGCTTTGCTTTGACCTATTGCTCAGTTCCCAGAAGGAAAAAGCCCACCACATGGAAAGTGTGCCCCATGCCTGCAGGAGGTCCACAGGACAAACAGCACCTGCTGTGTGCTTCCCACTCACCTGCAGACTCCATCAACTAAAACACTGCCCAACCCCACCCAACCCCACAGCTGCAAGGGTACCATGCCTGGACTTTGGGCGCCTGGCAGCTCTTTAGTGAGCCCCAAGTACAATAGGGCACCCCTGAGCCAGGCCCTTAGGAAAAACAGGTTCTGCCTGCACCAGACCCATAGCCTAGACAGAGCACCAGAAATGTGATGATTCTCTGAGTCCAAGTGCACGATCCCCGCACTTCTCGGAGAAGTTTGTAGCAAGCAGCACTGCTGCTTCCATGCAGGGCAGGTTTCCTCCCAGACCATATGAACGTGAATGGGCTCTAGGTGCTGTTCAGTCTGCACTTGTACTGCAGCCTCCCTCTGCAGCCTTATAAACCTCTCATTAATAAGCTGAAAAGGCGTTTTGTCTGGCGAGGGCCGCCCTTCCTGCTCCACACTGGAATTTATCGATACAGCAGAAACATCATCTCAGAGGCCATTTCACGAGTGCCAGGTCATTTATAGCTGCACTTTTGTCAAGATAAATGAGCTGCCGATGATGACATTTACAGCTCTGAGCATTTTAATAGGAAAAAAAGGACCATAAAAGTCAAAGAGAACTTCAAATTTTTCTTGTATTAACTGAGTCCCACAGGCTGCCCAGCAAACACCGGAGAGGCAGGTGGGAAGAGGCAGGTGCCTGGCAGACCCTGCGAGCTTCTGGACAGAAGGAAAAGATGTCTTCAGTGAATGTTTCCAAGTGCTGGGGGGTGGGGGTGGGGAGAGGGGACCCAGGAGCCGTGCAGGAGCAAGTGGGCACAGGTTCTGGCCCTGACACCAGTCATGTGAGGTCACTTAGTGCTTCTCACTGGTGTCCTCATCAGCTAGAAGACGATGCATGAACAGTCTGGGCTAGGCAGTGGCAGGGGAGCCCTGCCCAGTGCCCAGAGCAGGCAAGAGGCCCGTGAGCGCTGGGCGCTGGGAGAAGTTCAGATCCCAGCCAGGAACAGGGCCTGGTCATACAATGAGGAACTGTAAGCGTGTGCCTGAGAGGAACCTGACTCCACCAGTCCCAGTGGCCCCTTTTGCTATAGTTTGGATACATGTCTCCCAAAGGCCAATGTGGTAAGGGCATGGTCCCCAGGGTGGCTTTATAGGGGGGCCTGTGAAAGGCCCATGGGTCATGGGGGGGTGTGCCCCGTGGGACCTCTACCGCTTCAATTTTTGCTTTTGCTCCTGGCTACAAAGTGAGTGGTCTGCTCCCCATACCACCCACAACCCCACCAGAGAGGCCCAGCGTGCCTCTGTCCTACTGCTTGTGGCTGACGTCCTTCTGCAACAGCACAACATGCAGGCTCAGTGGCCTGCTCAGCCCGCTTCTTCCTGAGGCCACAGCACCAGCCCCCACCCTCCCACCTCTGACTGCTTGGCTCCCTTCACCTGCCAGTCCTCTGCTGCTGACCCTCCCAAGGCTCCTGCTGCCCTCCTGCTTGGCAGCCTCACCCCCACCTGTGGCTGCAGCTGCCACCTTGAGTCAGTGGCTTCCCAGACTTCCTGGTGACTCCCTCACCGCAACATTCATTCAGCAAACGCCATGAAGCCTAACACTGGCTGGCATGCTCTGCTTGGCTGCTCCATCTCAACCCTGATTGGAAGGACGAGTGCTGCCTTTCCTATATCCACTCCCCTGCAGGACAGTAGATTTGGGGGAGAGGGGCGGGTTTAGGCTGGTGAAGGTTCTGGATGACCACAGGGCTCAGTTCCCCCAGGAACCAATGCTCCTGGGTAGCTCCAGTGACCCAGGGCTCAGTTTTCTCATCTGAAAAATGGGAGTGTATTACTCCTCTCTTATAGTTTCTAAGGGCCAGAGAGTGGTGTTCATGGAGCCTTCAGTGGATCAGAGTATCCGTCAGTCAGAGGTGGTCAGGGACAGCACTGCCAGAAAGATCACTTGCTAGCCACAAGCAGGCACCACCCTACACTTTTTGACCACAGTCTCCTGGCCATATAGCGTTTGGGGATCCTGGTCTTTGGGCTCCTCCCAGGCTGTCACTATGGGGTGCTGGAAGGGCTGACACTGGCACAGATAATCAAATAAATATGTAGAGAACGTTAATGGCAGATCACATCACAAGACACCCTGCTTCCTACGGCCTTCCTTAGCATGCACGTGCAGTCCAGGGTGTTCTCTGCAGAGCCACCACCAACCTCCCCTGGGTGATCATCTAATTCCCTGGATCGTGCTGTTGCTCTGATACCAGGATTGGGTCCAGGA